TTTTGTAATCCCTTCCATTGTATATATGTATTAGCCAAGGGAACCTTAAAGCAAAAGGAAAAGGTTGACATGTAAGCAAGATTCAGCAAATGAAAAAGTCGTATCTTTAGTTGGCAACATAAGGCTGGGTTCAGAATGCCACTGGTTTCTCTCGCCAGGAGAAAGAAAGAGAGAGCGAAGGGGAGGAAAGAAGTGACATATCATTAATAAAAGATAAAGAGGACAGAGCACAAAACTGTGAGGAAATAACATACAGAGAATTAAAGATAGTGTTTTAATTAAGTGCATGAAAAGGCTGCCTTTTATGATCATATTTCAAATATTCCAGTCTCTTTTCCTTCCATTCTCCTCTCCGACTTGGCTCAACAATATATCAAGAACAAAGAGAAATGTATAGAGGGCTTGTTTGAAAATTCAATTAGTCCAGCAATAAGTGAAAAATAATTTTTGTTTTATTAAAAAGAGTTCAGTCCTTTCCCCCCTTTTAATAAGAAAATTAGAGAGAGAAAGAAAAAAAAAATACTCTGGCTTCTTGACAACTCTGCCTTTATTATGTGCTTATCTGTCTGTAATTGATGAGGTGTCACGATTAGGATAATCTATCATTCTAACAACTAATATTTATAGTTGAGGAGGTTGGATTTTTCCATAGATCCAAAGAGACAGAATGCTATTTTTGTATTCCCCCAACCCTGTCAGGAATCATTTTGGAGGTATGGTTGCTTCCCAGAACTATGGGAAGGTTATTTTTTTTAACTACAACTCCCAGGATTCCCAGTTAACCACCCTGCTGGCTCAGGAATCTCAAGGACCTGGCTGGGGAAAAATTAAAAAAGGCCTTTCCAAATTCTCATAATTACCTCCCAAGCTTCTGAGATCTTCAAAATTTGGAGAGAAAGACCAAGTACAGATAAGACTCCATGGGTTAAGCAGGTGATAGGATTTAGGCTGCAGGAAGAATTGGTGCTTTTGAATTGTGGTGCTGGAGGAGGCTCTTGAGAGTCCCCTAGACTGCAACGAGAACAAATCCATCCATTCTGAAGGAAATCAACCCCGAGTGCTCACTGGAAGGACGGATCCTGAAGCTGAGGCTCCAATCCTTTGGCCACCTCATGAGAAGAGAAGACTCCCTGGAAAACACCCTGATGTTAGGAAAGTGTGAAGGCAAGAGGAGAAGGGGAAGACAGAGATGGATGGACAGTGTCATTGGAGCGACCAACATGAATTTGACCAAATTCTGGGAGGCAGTGGAAGACAGGAGGACATGACTTAACAACTAAACAACAAAAATCAAGCGACTGAAGGCACAAACACAGAGCCAGTGAAATAGGACAGTTTTTTCCCCCTAAAAGGCCTAATGACATTTAATTACTACTTGCTGTAGTTCTTTCAGAAACCTGTGGGAAGGTATGTCTCACCTGGCTGAAGGGTCCACAGCTAGCTTCTACTAGTCTCTCCTCCAACGGATGTTCCCATAGCAAAGGAGAAATAATAAGGTGAAGCACTGGTGTCAAGGTCTCTTCTCTGGCTTGCTCCTGCTGGTTTTACTGCTGTCTGCTAAAGTCAGGTAGCAGCCTGGTTAAGAGACAGTTTATAATCACAAGGGAAAATGTTCCAAAGGCGGGCGGGCGGGCGG